TCCGCTGTGACGTTCAACATTTTACGACCCTGTTAAATACTGCTGCGCTAGTGGCCTTGGCGAGGAAGTAAGACGTGCCACGATAGATTATGGCTTGCTAATAGGCGATCAGATTAGGGTTAAGTTCTAGTTACCGCTTCTGCTTCTTCCCGTAAGCTTTAATAGGTATAGTGACAAGTAACCTGTTATCTTTTGCTTTGGTAAAAGTATCTAAGCCTAGCTTCTTATTACTTATTATTAAATATGCATATATAACCTGAATAAACTTCTTGGGCTCCTTATAAATATTAAATGTAGTGCTGCTGTACGGCCCAGACCGATTAAAGATCCATGTCTCTATTTCTATCCTAGTCAGAGTGAAGGCGTGCACGAAAAATTATGTAGGCTAGTAAGCGAACACGTTTCGCATAGCGCTGCTAACCTGAAGCTACAGGCTTTTGTTTTTCTGGTCAGACTGCTTAAGCTCGCCAATAACTAACACGTGTTTCTAGTTGTGCTTTGTGTCTGACGCTTTATTTCTTTTTATTTTAACAAAAAGGTCTAGTTACTGTGACGCCTTAGCCCTGACTTTTTAGTGTTTGTTGCTTCTAAAGTATGCTGCCTGTTTAGTCGTGAGCAGCTTTTCCTGCAAGTTAAGTAGCCAGCTATATACCTTATTCTTAGTGGCCGCGTTAGGTAATTGTGTCTACCTCTTGTCTTTATTGCTATAGCGACTATTAATACTCTGCCAGATTCGCCTGGCTTATAAGTTCTATTTATATCCTTTAAAATATTTCTTGTAAAATCCCGCGATTATATAGTATGTATAATAGCGAATCTTTTTAAACACGCGAGGTTTAATTTTCCGTTACGTCTGCTCTGGCCCTTACTGTGAAGCGGATAAATATGTTATAGGGGTTTTAAAGGATGGCGGGAGGCTTGGCGGCGGAGTCAAGTGAGAAATTGATCGGATAAGGGCTACGATAGCAGCCCAGATATTGATATCTGGTGCTTGCTTGATCACAAGCTGTGATAGCGGGCGAAATTGCTTGTACTTGAGATTGCCTTTCTGTACACGTAGGCGAATTGCAGTCAGATTAGACACAAGAGCCTCTCTTCCCGTTCTTGAAGCCAATACTAGCAAAATATTGGATACAGATAGAATAGAGAATATTTTTCCTATTACTGCCACGAATAAGCGGGGTTGTTCTGGGGCAGCTGTGCTGTTATCTGATTGAGAGGCTTTATGGCGTGTGTTTTGTTCGGCCTCTCGTAATGCCTTACGAATGCTGCTGAGCGAGTCCCTAAGAGGATTTGCATCGATGATGTCGCGTTCTTCTTGAGTAAGATGAGCCATTTTATAGGTTAGTAGAACCGGCAGAACATTATTAGTAGAACATGAGATTGATATCTCAGCATGTTATTCCATCAGAGGGCAGAAATGTGAGAAGAGGGAGCTCCAGGATATCTAGCACTGACCACTAGCTCTGTCCTGCTGAGTAAGCCAACCAGATGTCCGTCTGCCAATAGCGATCATTCATTTCAATCAGACAAATTTTACGGAGTACCGGGGCCAACAATCACTGCACGGCAGTGACAATCGTCGTTGCTACTCTCCATCTCTCTCGCTCGTTCTTCACGGATTCACAAGATGATTTTCCTTTGCGAGCCCAGGAAGGGAATTCTCACGTCGAGCCAGCTGCCCTATTACTAAGCTGGAGAATTGAATTGACGCCCCTGCACTATCTGCTTGCTTATCGGGCGCCGAACTTTGTCTCTAGAGTCTCCACGAAGCTCGTTACGACCGTTCCTCATTCTTGGACATGATAGCACACCTTCCTCCGATTCTTGCCACATTTTCTGAAACGGAGTCTAATCAAGCTCAAACTGCGCACCTGTTGATCAATGACTCCTCTCACGACGTAGTTGGTTACTTGGAGCAGTCGTCAACCCCAGAGGAATTAGCGACCGACTGGATGGCTGACTTCAGGTCGGCGCTCTCGTCTTCCGAGTTATTGGTTTGTCCAAATGCCTCACATGATTCAGAGATGACATTGGCCAGGTTCGCGGACCAGATGCTCTCAAAGTCAACCCACTGAGACTGCTGGGGCCAAGCCTCGGACGGGTCGCCGTGACCGACCGAGGAAAGTACAGACATAACCTGACCCTCTGGGTGAGCCCGAGGACGGTGTTGTAGTCGGTGTCGGGGTTGCCACAGGCGAGCTTGAGGCAGTGGCAGCGGCAGTGGAGGAAGAGAGGGGCGCGACAGCAGAAAGAAATGCTTGAACGAAGCACTAAGTCGTAACTAGGCTATTGAACCTGGCCATCACTCTGCCATTTATACCAGCCCCAAAATTCCGACACCTAGGCTGTATGTATCTTTGCATGAGCTCCTCCATAAAGGGCAATATAACCTTGATTTCCAGGTAGCTTGGGAAAGAATTACTATTGCGATGTAAATCGCTTACGGGCTCAAGCCTAGTTACCCCTGACAACTCCTTCCCCTGTAAAGGTGCACGTGACTAAGATTGCAGCACCTCCTTTCCTATTGATAGCTTCAAGCTCTAGATAGAAACAACAAGAACAAGAAGAACAATGATCATATGACTACTGCAGTAGCTAGTGATTACCGCCTGTGAACCGACAATTACAGTACACCTCGAGTACAGGATCGTAAGAACATGAGATGTAATCGCGGTTTTGGAAGAATAAAATAGGGAATGTTTATTTCTTTTGTTTGAGTCCGATAAAAATAGGCTTCGCCGCCTTCAAGGCTCCATCTTTTAGCTAACTGCGCAAAATTTGTAGACACATGGTATTTTCTTGACACATCCAAAGAAATGAATCTTCGAGTTTGATGTAATTGCGAGTGCTAAGTGTCATTGTGTTCTATCTTCATTTCATCCTTCGTAAACCAGAAGCTCAAAAAGCCGCGCATGTCACAACAAGTCCAGCCAGAGTTTTGATGAATGTGATCATTCCCACCATGACATTCCAGGATGACACCGTCCATCTTCCTACCTGTACCCATTGGCTGATATCTGGTGTTCTTAAAACAGAGCTTGTTTACACCCATGTAATTTCGAACGGGATCAACACCCAATCTGCACTGCCCAAGGGCACGCTTGACCCTTCCTCTGTACTCTATGAGAACTCCTCTGCAGATCTTTGTCATGGGTACACTGAATATTCGAATTGCAATGACGTTTTCCAGAGGTGCTGAGGACAGATAAACCCAACTTTGCCAAGGTGGATCAGATATGATCCGATTTGGTAGAGTCACTTCCCTTAGTTCATGTTCTCTGGAAAAAGCATCGCAGAAGTATATGGGAGACCCGTCCATTCTCCTATATATGAGGGTTCGGGGCTGCTTGATTAACAGAAATTTCAATGGTCTCTTGTTGCAGGGCCCAACGATTATATCTCCGACGCCGTCAATGTGCAACTACATTCCGTTAGTTTGCAACCTTACAACACGCTCAATTTGGGTTGGGGTTCGTCGTCTAGTTCTTACCAAGATATGCTGTGTTTTGTTAAAATCTCCTGGTGTGTCTTTCACCTGACTAAATGCAAACTTTGCGATTCCCTGCTGAATGGGAACATATATCCATGTTAAGGACTTTTGCCTGACAGGCTCAAAAAATAAAAAGGTATGTTCCGCAGACAGTTGAGCATGCGTGTGAGCATGAACTGCATACAATGATCCATGAGCAAGGAAAAACGTGATTCCAGTGAGGCTATCCGTCTCTGTCCATATGGTTCCTAGATGACAAATAGAGGAGGTATTGTGGCCATCAATATAATCAACAGGTGGTGGGCAAGGGGTATCCCAGACCCGAAAACGTCCTGTCACGCCCTGCAGTGCAGCGAGGCCGAGCTAAAATCTACTCAGTACTGTTCTATTTTCACCTGGGATATTATGACATACCTGAAACTTTACGATGACGTTAGAGAGGCGCCCAGCTTTTTCCACGACGTAACCAGTACAGTCAGAACGTAAGTTTGCTGCGGGAGGAAGTACTGCCATCTTTTCGATGCTTTGAAGCCCTTGCCAGTCGATCGATAGACGGATAAACGGCTTATTTCCTTCTTCACACACTTCCGGGAGCTCACCGCGGGTCCAACTCTCGATTCGATCTAGAAATTCCTCACGTACGTCTTCTCTGAACAAGTCGAAGGCCGCTACCAATTGATTATAATGGTGTAGCGCGAAGTTAGGCATTGGATTTGTTGAAAGTGAAAAGTCCCGAATCATAGCGTAAAGCTCTGGCGGTAATGTCGTCATCCTTTTCGTCAGGCGCAGGTCGTCTAATCTGCGATCCAAATTAATCCGCGGCGGGGCATTTAGAGGCAATGCACCCCGCCATGGGCTCCTCCATGTCGATGCTACCCACAGCCAGCGTAAATTGTCACCAAGTCCCCACGGTGTGTCTCCACGGCAGAAGATCTTCAGACAATCGGCGTGCACGATGCTAGCCTCCTTATGATGTTCACGACAGTCGAGATTGGCACAGAACTGTACATCGTCGCAAGAAATACCATACCGGTCGACGCTGAACTTTGATGGGCCATGTCCAGTTACTACAGAGCCTCGGCGAACAACTACGTGCATCATGTTAGCGTGAGGGGTTGGACAGCTGTTGAAGAGTTGGAGGGTTGCATCTCACAGCTGTGAATGAGGTCGTCCTCATGGAAAAGCAAACCGCAAGCTCCGCAGCGAGTATGGGCGCGAGCGTGCTGCCTTTTCGACATTTTTGGGCCTTGCCAGGTGAAACGCGCTTTTTGTTGTCTTAACAGATCCATGAGGACTCAAATCCGAGATCACGGGCATGCGTCACGAAAAATTAGGTTACGGCCAGGGACTAGGTTGCACGTGACTATTGCACCCCTCCACCACGACAACGTGGTATATACTTCATTGGCACCAACTCGGCCCAGATCTTTAAGAGGAGCGCACTCCTGACTTACTTCATATCGTTACAGTACAACTCTTGACGGCACCCAAACAAAGAACACAAAGTGGCATCAGACCCTGTCTTGGCCACAACTCACGACCAGTGACGAGACATGGACGAATTACCACTGGAGGCTTGCTTATCTTCCAAGTTGTAACCAAAAGCGACCTTAAATCCCTTCGGTTAACCTCAAAAGAGACCAACATGTCTGCAACCAAGCTCCTTTTCACCCGGGTGTACACCTCCCTCCACCGTGAGGACCTGGATGTGCTTCATACGATTGCAAAACACCCAACATTGAGTTCAGTTGTTTCAAGAAATCATCTACTCTGGAGTTTACTTTCACATGTTCGAAATCGGACCGGAGAATGAGTCCTTGCAGCACAATGACGACCCAGGTCGCCAATACCATCTTTCGCATATGGAACAACAGAAGGAGATGCTAAAGGGACACCGCGACGAAATCATTATAGCAGTTGCTCTAGCATCGATGCCAAATATTCGAAGGGTTACACTCCCGAATCATTGGTGCCCAGCAAGAGATCTCCTCGGCACCAGCTATTTCAGCCCTTGGCGTCCCATGCTTCCTAGAGGTGTAAGAGTTGGCGGGCCACTATCCAGAGGACCAGAGCGTACCCTCACTTTGCGAAGGAGCCTTCCGGCCTGCCGTTACAAAGCGGACGCCAAGAGCATTGTCGTACGAATATAGACTACGGCTTCAAGGTCTTGTATAGAGCAATGAACCTTGCTCGCCCGTCCATCCAGGAGCTTTCTGTAGATTACTATGACGACCTGTGTCGATCTGAGCGACTGCTGACGAGGGGCATCTTCCCACGTTCGCTTCTGTTTTCGCCACGCGATTTAGAAGATTGCTGCACAGCATTCAGTCAACTCCGCAAGATTCCATTCAGTCTCTGCCCGGCCTCGACAGATGACGAGTGGGACATATTGATGGAAGGGAATCTTGCCGCTGTTGACCGCTACACGTCCAAACAAGAAAATAACCAACATATATTGGAAGAGACAGACTGCGTACAGTAAGACAACAATAAGACAGACCACTCCTGTTACCCAACCCAACTATGGTTTCAAATATGAGCACCATATATCTCATTTGATTGGATCCTCCTCGTGAGTTGTGGGCTTAGAAGCTTACTGCGTACCCATGTATCCTCTTTGGATGGACGGCCATGCCAATATAAAAGGTGTTGAAGCTCCCAGGCGCTCAATCGGGCTCCCAAAACATCCACAACCGCGTCAAAACCTTGCCAGCTTAAGCAAAATGAAAAGCCTCTTGATTTTCTATATAAAAGAGCGAAATCATACGAAATTAAATACTTACTGGAATACTGCTTGTCAAGGTCAAGTCGCTCATTCAAGGCAACAGCCATTGCTATACTGCTGCCTGCCAGGCAGCAGTATTACAACAAGTATTTAGTTTCGTATTATTCCACTCTTTATGTAGGAAATCAAGAGTCTTTCATTCTGTCTAATCTGTCCCATACAATCGTGTGTGTGACACTGCTGCTTAGGCCGCAGTATTACGATTTCCTATTGCCACTTACCGGTCGCAAGTGGCCACTAGGCAATAATGCTTGCGTGTTCTTGACAGAGGCAACATTATGCTTGAATGAATCAGCGACCCGATCTTGACAGGTAATATATGCGTAATGATTGAGTGCGGAAATGAACGATATGTGAACGTAGTAACGAATGCATTATTGCTTGGTTATTTCTTTGTTGCTATCAGATTTGTTATTTCTTTGAAGTGCTAGCGGGCCTGACATTCCCACGGCAAGTTCAATGTTTGGGGTCTAGATTATCACACCAGTACGTCGTTTTAGTCGAATATCGGTAAACGTACACCCGACGCCCATCGGGATGTGTAGCCCTCACAAAATCCTCACGTCTTGCAGTTACGGGATTCTTCTTCCTATCCTTGAACACTAAGTTATGTATCGGATGGCCCCGTCTCCTCAACACTTCGATTTCACAAGGAGGTCTGTCACTGCTAAACCATTGACCCTGCATTTGGGATGGGGCTGCCGTATTGTTGCTGGCTGACTGGTCCTGAGGTTCATCGACATCTGTCTCCATCGGGGTTGTCCCATAATGTTGTGAGATAACTGGCTGATCAAAGCTAGTTATAGAAAAGCTCGTAGTTGGCACCTGCGCTGAAGCGGTACTTGAGGACGCTTGCTTCGATTGGCTGGTAGGATCGCCGCCTGGATAGTCGTATGTTTGGTACGTTGTGCTTGGTGTTGTTTGAGACATGCCCACCGAAGATAGGCCCATGAGACTCTCCGATTGAGTGTACAACTCGGCGATTTTACCAGAATCTGGATATTGGATAGACTTGACGCAATTGAAAGCCCATCTGAAGCCTTGTTCGTTCGCACGAAACTCAGGGTAGGCACTTTTCTGCCCCATTTCCCCCGCCAGCGGATAGAAAAGTTCCAGCGCACCGGGACCGTCAAGACTGCAGAACCACAACCGAGCATGAGTGCCGAAGTAGGTCATCACCCAGAGGGATGGGATTTGATTCTCACGCAAGTAGGTCAGAGACTTTCTATAAGCGTGGCGTTCTGCCGTTATAATATCTTCCTTCCCGGACTTATTTTTTTTACCCTCTGCAGTCAGGCGAAATGCAAGTACATTGCATGTCAGCTCCAAGTACACAACGCCGATGTCGAATCGCGTCTGGTCATGATGGTCTTTAGGAGGCATCTCTTGAAAGACATGCCACTCTATTTCGTTGAAGATATAGTGGGTAAGGAATTTTGTCCAGAACGCGTTGCTTGCGAATTCATCCTGATGAGCAGCATTATCGTAAAATTTTTTGAGGAGAGAATCGTTGTCAAAGATACTCATGATTAAGGGCGAATACTTGCGAATGTCTTTGTAGTTGCGATTAAAAATTACATCTTGATGGCTCGATGGGGTAAAGGCGAATGGGGGCTTAAATACGTATCGGCGTTGTCACGAGGATGGATAGTCTCCTGATAAACAGGTCTTTTATTCTAAGCAGAGAGTCATACATGAGAGGCAGATATCATGCCGTGACAATTTGGCTTCATCCGCCCTGAGGTGTTGCACTGGATACAAGAAAGAATTCACGGTCAGCAATTCGAACGGCCCTTGTTTGCATGCACTAGCCAGGTCATTCTGCTTGATCATGGATTGCACTCGTGTGCTTTCTAGGATCTGACAACCATGATTTCCGCATTAGCTAGATTAAACAAGGAAACAATCGCGAGGCAACCCGTCTGATCGTAAGTTACGAGACCATTTCCAATGGCACCAATGTATTGGTAAACAATTATTGTTCCAACCTACGCCGCATTTGATAGGTAGCCCCATTTTGCCCCTGGTCAGTGAACTAGTGTGGTGGATATTTTCAAAGCATACAGCGAGATGTAGTCAATCTCCGCGCTGAGTCTTCTACATGGATTACTAGCGTTGAGTATTTCCGACTGTGGCGCAGATCTGTATCTGTCCTTGGGCAAACGCCCGCCCATTTCCCACACCCGCCACGTCTTAAAGAGATCCGGAATAGATGGGGACTGTTCTCAGCTGTGGTTTGAGTGCTACTGGTCTCTCAGCTTTCAACTCACCACTCTCCCGGAGACAGCCACCACCATCTTTGGCAGTGACGTCAGGCAAGGTACCAATTCGGGGAGCTCTACCGTGTATTAGCAATTCTTCCAAAGTCTGGTACTCCAAATGTGAACGTATATCCTTGCTAACTTGCCGGCCCATTGCGCAGGTGAAGGAGATGGATCAAGTTGGAGTCCTTCGGGCTGGGCAATCTGGCCCAGAAAATAACAATCGATTTACCCCGCTTTTTGAGTGGTGCTCATTTACCAGCTGACGGCGCTAGCGCCGATTTGGACAAACCATGGCACGCGTCCCGTTATGTTTTCAGATTAGGTTAGTGTGGAAGCCACGATTTCTCGGTTGTGCAGTAGAGAGGCAGCAGGGCTATCCAACGGGAAGCCCTGCCAATATCTGTGTCGGCTTTCTGTTTCAGTGTTTCCACTGTCGTTAGGGCAGAATGATTTGGATCATCAACTGTCACGGAAAAGAGGTCATGGCCCAATCGTCGGGACAGGTCGGCATTTTGACCAGGTCGAAGTGGGGCCGTGGCAGAAATGCCTGCCCACTAGATTGTGTCAGAGGGACGGGTGGCTGTGAAGGATGGTTGGCCAGGACTTCATACTGTCTGAAGGGCGATCGGAGTACGTTCGATTCCTCAGACGAGATGTCGAATTTATTTAACTTCATAGCAAGAAACTCATAGGATCAAACCCTTGGCAGCTGTTCAGGGCAGAATACCCCATGCACATGTGGCTTGCGGAAGAGCTGTTGGCGGATGGCATCGATTCGGTCAAGTTCGTATTCTGGATAGTATGATTCGATTCAGTGGAGTGCATTGACTTGGATTGCGAAAGAATTGCTGTATCTTCTGAAGGAGACATGGATGCAATGTGTTGTATCCAAAAATGGCTCGCACGTTTATATAAAGCCCACTTTTGTATACATTTGTCACCACATGTATACAACTATGCGACTCGTCATGATGTGGCTTGCAGAAAGCTGTTGGTTTGCGCTGGAAGGGGGTGAGTTGATTAATCGCGATTTGGAACTAGTCCAGAGAAGTAAACCTTTATCCTAAAACCGATTTATAAAGAATATTTAAGGGAAGAGATAAGAGATATTTTATATATAATATCTAACTATTTCCGCTAGAGCTACGAGTTTATAGAAATATATTTTTATTTAATGTAAGATTGTGTTTTGGCTTTTGCTGTCTTATAAAATTATTTGATGTCTTATCTATATTGCTCACCCGCCTTATAATTATAGTCTTATTACTTATTACCAAAATGTCTTTACTATATTTAAGCCCCTCTCCTGCTGGTAGTTACTTTATTATACCCTTCACGGATTTGAATACTGCTGTGGAATCAGACCCTGAGTGGGTTAAAGTCCCTGAACCCAGAAATAAAACGAAGGGTAGAAGCAGTCTGTTTACCGAAAAGCATGAGCCTATAATCCCTTTGTAAGTAGATAATACTAACTGTAAAAATATTTATAAATCTACTTATTAGATATCCTTTTATATTTATTTGTCTAGAAACTACTATTAGTATTAATCGTATTATAAAACTATATTATTATTAGAAACGGATAAACTTTACCGGGAACTCTTAATTTCCTTGCACGTTATACTAAAAGACCTTAAGCATGCTAATACTAGGGGCTTGAATTAGACTAATAAATACGTTAAGACACTACGCCCTAATAGCCCTACTGGCTGTGACTCTGCCTTGTAAGCCTTTAGTCCCCTTGTAAGTTTATCTTGGTCTGATTATTAGTATGGCGTGGAGTCTTATTGCGAGAATTATCCTGGTACTGGATATGGATTAATATCTGAGATTTTTACGGAAATAGTACTAATTAACGTAACTAACTTTAACGCTATTAAAATAATAACTACTTATAACGTTCCTAAGGTAACCAAAATTAGGTACTTAAACGCTAAAACTAGGAAATAGTAATCTATTAAGACTTATTCTGCGGATATCTTAACTTAGTAAACTTAACTTATGATAAAACTTAGGAGGGTTAATAAAAGTACTACTGTATTTGCTAAGGGGAGAAGTGCTGGCTTAGAAAATTAAGAAACTAATACCGTAAGTTTTAATA